TAAGGTTACAAAAATGAGGATGGTATGCATTGTATAATGATACGTATGGCTTCTTCTAACCTACAAAAGAAACAACTCCAAACATTTTTATCGATCAAGTTTTAAAGATGTGCCCAGAAGACTTTAAGATTTTACATGTTTTAAAACAGATATTGCACATTATTTTGATGTTGGTTTAAATTATTATATTTTTTTAGAAATTGATACAGACGTATTTAACCATTTTTACAATTAAAATATAAATATTTCTCTGGTCAGAAGAAATAATACGATATTTTCTCATGAAAATGTTGTTTGCCTTTCATGCGGCAAAGCATACGTGCACTGACGAATTGGTTAACTAACACAGTTGACCAAACAACTGCATGAAATCAAATAGTTTCTTGATTAAATAAGTCAATCGACTGCAACTCCTGGCTACTGTATACAGTTTTTGTCCAACTTACCAGGCTAATATTGTGGTCATTCACACAAAATAAAGTCAGGTCCATCAGATAAGATTCAACCTTTTTAACTCTATCATAAACACAAGCTTCTTTTAATTTCTTTATTAGGAATTGTATTTCTTCTGAGGATAAAATATATCTTGTAGATAATGTTACTATAGTGAAACAACAATACATGGATAACGTCTACGACATGAATGAAAAGGAAACTCTATTGACTATAAACATAAAAAGTTGAAAAATAATACAATTACGTTTTATTAAACTTGAAAACGAGTGATTTGATTACTTACTTTTGGTCACCTACATTAAATGAACAACGTAGAAATTATTTTAAATTACTATACGATTTTTTACCTGTAGTAAATGTGACACTTTCTTTAACGTCTGACGCGAGCAGTTTTATTTTCTTTCTTGAAATCCCATCATTAGTGTGGTGAGTTACAGGAAAATATTCTATGGCCTGCAAAAAACAAATCATCTTAATTTTCTTACTTTAATGACCTAAAATATTGTTCTCTTATTATTCGTTTAAAAAATACCTACCTGTAAAACGGTTTCTCTATCATTAGTGTCCAAATGCATTGATATATTTGCAAAAATACTCAAACATATTTTTACAAAGTGATGTTTTAAATTAATCTGTAAAAGAATAAAATCTTCGTTTTTTTTTTCTATTGTAGTAAAATTATAATTATAACGTGCCCAAGAGCAATGAACCTGAGAGGTATACACAATGGGAATTAAGGAAATACGGAGTTCCAAATCAATTATTTGTAAATGAATTGTATTGCTAACTTTAAAATGTGAAGAATAAAAGTTAAAACACAGATCAAATAATGGCTTATTGCAGTGTTTGAACTCACCATTTTCTAGGCATAGCAAAATGTATTAAAACAGCCAAGCAAAATAAATGAAAGTATTGTTACATAATATGTACAATCAACAGTTTTCTATTAAATAGTAATTAGGTGATCATATAATGTGAACGCTTTGTTCAAAAACTCATTCCTTTAACACGAAAAAATATTTCGGTCCACTGATTATCTTGGTGAGCAGTCTCTCTCTCTCTCTCTCTCTCTCTCTCTCTCTATATATATATATATATATATATATATATATATATATATATATATATATATATATATATATATATATATGTAAATAATTTCGTACCTCGCAGTTTTGAAACTCGTTAATAGCTGGGATAATGTAATTTATAATTCCTTTTCTTGCGACACACTGTTTCACGATCAGTAAGATAAATACAATTAGTTTTTTTAGTTCAATATTGTTACATTTGTACAATAACAAATGCTTTGTAAATTAAATACAAAATGTAACCACCTCTCCAAACTTCTGACTTGATTTTATGTAAAATTCAGCGATGTGTAAAAGCGTCAGTACAATAAAACATCGTAATGTGGCATGCATTGTCTTGGCTTCATTGCAGATATATATTAAAGTATCTGTATCATAATTCGAGAAATTAAATTACAGTTGGTTAATTGCATTTATTTGTATTAAAACCATGCTATAATAATTAATTATAAGGACTTAAAAAAAAAACTTCAATAAAGTAATATTAGTTAACTAGTGTGACAAGAACCTAATTAATATATTCAAATCTTTGAAAATGTGTTGTTAACTTCCATAAAAGAATCATAGGAACACAATAGTCGTAATTTTTTTTTATCTGGGCAGCTATAGATGCCATTTCGTGATAGCTTAAAAAATGAATATTAGGACCCATAAATACAAAATAAAAATCAAACCTGCATAACACGAAGCTTTATCCTCAATCGTTCCATGTCTAACAACATCTAAGTATAACATCCTGATCAGACGAGATACAAAAAGACAGCCGTCCTTAAAGTGTTCTCCTGTTCTATGTAGCACATCAAGGATGATTCCAGCTCCTGGCTAATATAATAAATTAATACTTTTTTACGTGTACACAATTCCATTTCTTATTAGACTAAATTACGCACTTTATTAGATTAATACAAGTTATCTTTATGTATGTCAATTATGCATTATCAATTTTCATTTCTTTCATTGTATACCTCGTAAATCTTGTTCAGCAAATCTTGAAAATTAATAATCCTGTAATATTCAATTTTTTAAAAAAATTATCAGATATTTATAATTGTTTTAAAATCCACTAAGTGGTACTGAGTAGTGCATTTTTTTATACAAATGTTGAGCTTAGTAAATCCAAACTCAAAGTTTCACCTAGAAAAATAAAAATAAAATACATATAAATATATAAACGCAACTCTTTTAATAAAGATTTTCTTAACAAAACATACACAAATTTTACCTTAGGTTACGTTCTTGAATGTCATCGTGACATTTGCGTCTAGTAAATTCATTTAGACCTGTTGGTTCGAAAGTGACGTACATATGCAATAGAACATTAATATTTGCTACTCTATTGCCTTTAAAACATTTTGCAAAGTAAATAATTATTAATTGAAATGCAAAACATTATTTTGTATTATCTAGAGCACAGAATAGGGTTTGATAGCTAGAACTACTAAAGATGAGATTTTGTGAGTAAGGGGGTAATGGTAAGGGGGTAATGATCAAGGTGTAATTGACAATATTTGAATCCTCTTTTCAAGAGCATTTTCTCCTTTTTACATTTGTATTTAGTACAACTAAACCCGTTCTGAAAAATGGCAAATATTAACTGTTAATTTGTGTGCGTTAAGTTACGGGTTGTTTTTTTTTTTAGAACTTTTCTCTTTTCAAATGTTGAACACTTGTCAAGTAGCCTTTGCTGTTGTACAGATTGGGCGATTGTGATGGTTTCAAGTTTAATTTTAATATTTCGCTGGTATTAGCTGCGTCATAATTAACAACATATGGTGATTACTTTTTAACATAAAGAAAGTTTGCACCAACATAAACGAACCCTCACAGAATAAAGGGCAAAATAAACTTGCAAAGTTGAAAACAAACTCGCGCTTAGGGTTCATCCATTTATGACATCAACAAAAACTTTAAATTGTATAGCGTAGTCATGCTACCTTCCATACGCTTCTACCAATTTTTACTTGATATGAAGAAGCCTACAAACATATAGTAGACCTGTAAAATGTTCTATTAATTTACAATGTCAATATCTTGCATTGACTTTACATGAAATCGAATATAGATCCAATATGTTTGTCAGCGTTTATCATTAGTTTAACCTTAAATTAGTATCCAGACTGTAGTAAAATAAATGTAGTATGTTTTGAAAACGGGAGTATACGAAATATTTAGTTTTATAAGTGTTCCATTTCCAACCAAAAACTCATCAACGCATTAAACCCTTATTTTGTATGTGGAAAAATGTATTTAAATTATTATTTTCTGTAGGCTATTTGAGGGGGGGACCTGTAGTCAAAACACATTTTGCTACAAGCTATACAATACATGCTTTTTTGGAATTGTATTAACTTTAAAATACTTCAAACAGTATAATTTGTATATTTTTTGGGGACAATTTATACATTTTTTTTTGCCAAATTTGGTGTCAAATTGAACATTTTCTAGGTACACAGTAGAATGAAAATAACTAAAAATATAATTGAAAACAATGCAAAGTAACCTTGCATATTCATAGTTGATATGACAATTGACTATCTGATAAAAGGAAATGTTGATATCTTACAAAATTATTTTTTTGTATAATTTTAAAGTTTGTCATTATTGTATTGTAATTAGTCTTTAAATTTAAGTAAACGATTTTGAAACTAAGGGGAGATAAAAAATAATTAATATGTCGATAGATAACTATATTTAAACAACAGAATGGGAGATAAATAGCTAACAGTCTGGTGAGCTGGTGAGCTGAGGTTCACAAGATTGTTTACAATCTTATAGCCGGTCGATCTAGCGAAAGCTATTAGTGGCAGATAATATAGATTTAAATTAGGGGGAGCAAAAAAGATCTAAATGATCTGGTTGCTGCCGTATGTAAACTTTGTCTTCACATTAGCTGCTTTCGGGAGGGGGGGGGGGGTGGGGGGTGGGGGGTGGAAGGATAATCTTATTTCACAAGCTACTGATAGTTTTTTAAGGCAAATATTTTTATTTGCAGCATTGGTAGGTATAGATTATGAATTACTAAACAGTAGAAAATAAAACAAATATAAAAACAAACTTTCTAATAGCAAGGTTTTAAATGCACTGAAAACAAGAAAATGAAACTAATTTGATTTCTTTCATAGAGGCTTTGTATCTAAAATATGTACAAATCTCATGAGTAACCAAATTAGTTTTATTTTCTTGTTTTCGGTGCATTTAAAAGCATGCTATTAGAAATGTGTTCATATGTGTTTCATTATTTGTTTGCCACTTTCTTATATAACGATTAGGCTAATATAAGGCTTTCTGAAAAAAATAACTTTGAGGAACGATCTTGGGAGTCTGGTGCAAATCGGGTGGCTCTTGTTGAGTTTGTGAGTTTGATATTTTCGAATATTAAACATTAAGAATGAAGAAGAAGAAGAAGAAGAATACATTTTAAAATAAAGAAGAATGTATGTTAGGTATGGTTGATCAGTTTGTAATGTAGTCATACGGTACATCTTGCTTTTCTAAACGTGGTACGAAATTGAATCTGCCCTTCATCGTTCACAAATAAAGTCACGTTTTTTCACAGAACCCCCACCCCATCCATAGATTCTCCCTCATTTTTATACTAAAACCGTCATATCTAGAGAACCGTTAATCTTATAAACATAAGTGTGGTGTCATTTTACAGTATTTAATCCGATTGATACAACTATGTCGTTGTTTTGTCATTTTAATTACTTTTTTAAAAATCGTGCTACTAGCTAGTATATTGCAATAAAAATCAGAGTTCGAAATCTAGGCAAATAAGGCGCAGTAGCAGGGTACAGCAGTCCATAGGAAAAAGCAGGCCTAAGTAGAGTAGTCGGATCATATCAGGAATACGATTTTAATACGCGATACTTAACTAGGTTGAAAAAAATTCAGCATGACCATTACAACAAAGAAGAAAAAGCTAAATTTTATTTGGAATAAAAATAACTCACCGGAAATATAAATTAGACTTGTAGAGCTTTTACCTCTATTTTCAGCTAAAGATGGCTGTTTATCCAACTCATTGAGAAAAGCTGTCCATAATTCTAAGTCACGAGTTCCGTTATTTAAACAAACTGATCTTTGATGTAACTTGTGTAAACAAACAAAAATTGCGACAAATTCTAAAACATCGTTAGTGTTAACATTCGCTTCGTTTTCTGTTAAACTCTGAACTATAATATAGTGTCCATTCTTTAATGCCAAGTCATAAGCTGTTTGACCTTTTTTGTTGACCCTTTTGGTGTCGTCTGTCTTATTTATTAAAATCTGGACCACATAGTTCAACCCGTATTTAGATGCCAGCATTAGAGCTGTGTTACCTTTGTTGTCTGTTGTGTTGACGTCATCAGTTTTCTCTAACAAGAGATGAATTATTTTAAGCTGTCTGAATTGTTTTTGTTTATCTTTAGATTTAAAGTATTGAACTTCAGTATTTTTCAGACCTAATTGTATAATGGCTATCATAAGCGGAGACCTGCCATCTCGGTCTACGACTTTTGTTTGTGCATTATGGTCGAGCAAATACTTGACGATAGGTACAATGTATTCATCGATATTACGTTTTAAAATTATTATGAGGACAGTTTCGTGTTTATAATCATAGCTGTTAACCTTAGCACCGTGAGTCAATAACAATTCGACGATACTAAAAGTATTCTTGATAGGGGCATCAAGTGCACAGTGTATGAGTGCTGTTCTATGTTTCTTGTCAACCTGGTTGACCTTTGATCCCTTACTAACCAAATATTTCACCGTGTCAACTAAACCAGCTTGTGTCGCCATCATGAGTAAAGTTCTACCTTTAGGACACACAACATCATCTTCTTTATAAAGTTTACAGATTTTTTCTATAAACTCGTAATTTCTGTTTTCTAAAGCTATCATTAGAGCTGTTTTGTTGTATTTGTTTACTGCGTTTATATCCTGTTTTATTTTAAGAAGGATTTTTCCTTTGTATCTGATATTGCTAAATCGCTTGTGTTTTGCGCACAACATAAGTAATGTGTTATTTTCTTTATCCACAATATCAAAATATGTTACGTTTTTTGCTTTAGACAAATATTCCAGGACTTTTACGTCTCCACATTTAGCAGCCAACATTACAGCCGTTCTTCCTTTATTGTCTGTTTGATCTAAAGCTGACTTGTGACTACTGACCTGATGTGAGCTTTGGTCTGATGGTTCAGTCTCTAGTAATAATTTGGTAATATAAAGAGTTGTCCATTTTTTTTTAACAGCCCACATTAATGCTGTCCGACCTTGTTTATCTTGGATGTAAATGTCAGCTTTATGCTCCAAAAGGATCTTCTCGGCGTAAGGGACTTTGCTTTTAACGGCTTTCATCCGCGCTGTTTCTCCAGTATTGTCAACGATGTTAATAATAGCCTGATGTTGTAGCAATAGCCGCACTACATCTGCATTAAAACTTGTTTCTACAGCATACATTAACGCCGTCTTCCCCTTGTTATCAACAACATTAACATCAGCCTTGTGATGTTCCAGTAATAGCCGCACTACATCTTCCTTACGCCATGTTTCTACAGCATACATTAACGCCGTCTTTCCCTTGCTATCAACAACGTTTACATTAGCCTTGTGATTGTCCAACAATCGCCGCACTACATCTTTATTATACGATTTTTCTACAGCATACATTAACGCCGTCTTCCCTTCACTATCCCCCATGTCAATGTCCCTATAAATTCCTGCCGGTATAAATCTCTTCTGTACAGCCAACATGAGCACCGAGGTTTTGTTGTTGTTGACATGGTTGACGTCAGCGCCATGATGAAGTAGCTCCTGTATTATATCACTTGGTTGATGCATATTGAATGAATAACTAACTTTCTCTCTCTTTATAGCCAACATAAGAGCAGAATTCCCATTATTGTCTACATCATTAACGTTAACATTATATTTGGAAAGAAGTAGTTTGACATTCTCCAATGATTTTTTTTCTACAGCCAACATTAACGCTGTTTTACCCAAATTGTTTTTATTATTAACATCGTGTGTACAAGAGAGTATTCTTGTTATAATTTCTACACTTTGGTTTTGTACAGCTAGCATTAGAGGTGTATTACAATCATTGTCTACTATATTGACATCAGGGTGGTGATCTAAAATTTGATTAATTAAATTAATATATTTGTTGTATTGTATAACTTTTATAATTGCTGTTTCACCACTGTTATCTCTTACATTTAAATCGTTAGTCAGCTGTAATAACCTTTCCATAATGGTTAGTTTTGAACTGTCTAAATCCTCTAGGATTTCATGTAGATAATGCGAAGACCTAAAATATTTCTTTGACAAAAGCTCCATCAGTGCATTTCTTCCCTGGCTGTTACTCACGTTAACATCTGCTCCATGTTTTAACAACACCTCAACAACTTTTGTTTTACCAGCCATCATTAGTGCTGTGTTACCATGGTGATCTGTTTTGTTGACATCAAACCCTTTAGAAATCAGCCACTCCACAACTATATCATGTCCACCAATAGCTGCTAACATGAGAGCGTTTTGTCCTTTAAAGTTAAAGTTAACATCCACAGTACCGTCATACAGTAACTCTACAGTGTCAAATTGCCCATTCAGGACCGCCAACATAAAAGCTGTATTGCCATCTACATCAAACACAGAGGAATCACTGAATTTTTCAATGTCAAAAACGATTTTATATAGACCTGTCATAGCAGCTAACATTAAAGTAGATCGACCAGATTTGTTTGTTTGCTTTATACTTGATTTTTCATTAACAAATTGATTTTGTAATAAAATTCTAACTGTTTCTACATGTGTACCTAGTATTGATAAGTTTAACGCGGTATTCCCTTCTATGTCAACCTGTTTAACATCAGCGCCATACTGAAGTAACAATTCTACAATGTTAGAGTAACCTCTACTTGCTGCACACAAAAGGGCCGTCTCTCCATATGGACTTACTGTGTAGTTGACATTCCTTAAAATTTCAACAGCTCCAGCGTCTATTAAATACTTTTTTATTTCAAAATAACCTTTGTCACAAGCATAAAATAGAGGAGGAGTTTTACCTATATTAACGTCCGCACCATTTTGTACTAAAAATTTTACTATGTCGATTTTACCCCTTTCAGCTGATATACACAATGGGGAGTCTCCTGAGATATCTTTTTTATTCACATCAGCTCCTGCTTCTACCAAAATTTTCACAAGTTCAAATGATCTACGTTTACACGATTCATGTAGTGGTGTAGTAAACGTTGTACTGTTAACATCTGTGCCATTGTCTACCAGCAGCTTTACAATCTCAACAAAACCATTTTCTACAGAATAACACAGGGCTGTCTTGTCGTTTGAGTTTATCAAGTTCACATCAGCCTTGTGCTCCAGCAGTAATTTAACTATGTCCGATTGTCCACGTTTGGAAGCATTCATTAACGCAGTCTGTCGGTAGCTGTTTCTACTGTTTACAACGACTCCATGTGTAAGTAAAATTCTCACTACATCCAATTGACCTTTACCTGCCGTCGAAATCAAGGCGTACCGAATTTTATTCAGCGATTTCACATTTTTAATTTTTTTAATTGCTTGTTCAAGATCAACTAAGTTGTTATCTCTTATAGCGATACTTAGCTCATTTAAAGTACCTTTATCAGATGCATCCATTAGGCAAGAAAATTTCCTGAAATAAGTAGATTTAAAAATAAAATAAAAGCCACGAAATATTGTTTGAAAAATCTTAAATTCTAACATTTCTATTAATACAAGGGAAGAAATGATCGACATCTCTTCATACTTAGCGAAATTACTTTAATGCTAAACAAAATAGCCTACATTTATTTGTTATTTGTGCAGTGGGTGTAAAAAGTAAATAAAAGCAACTGACTTTTAATTTAGTTTAAAGTTAACACTTGTTTAATACATTCGACAATATATACAAGCGACATAGTCAAACAACAAATGCTCTGTGACGTATCCAAAGTGTTTAAGTCAAGCAAAGTCCAACAACATTAATAATACATATCAACAGAAAATTGACCAACGTACTTGAACAACAATTTAACAATAAATATCTAAATGGCTTGCCAGAGTCCACTAATTGAGGTAGTCCCGTTTTGTTTGAGGTTAAAATATTTTGCTACTGCACCTCTCTTGAAACAACAACAAATCTTTGAACTTTCCTGTCATTTCTTATTGCAAAAAAAGTGATTTTTTCTTACCCGAATGTATATGTAAAGACGATATAACTAGTATAGCCATAGCAGTAATTAGTCTAGATTTTAAAAGGAGGTAAATGTCAGTGGCCGGTTTAATGCACACATCAATTGCAACAGTTTTCATGAGACCAAACAACAATATATTACATTTTTGTAAATACATTCGTTAGGTCTAACCTATCACTATCTAGCCCCTATCTATGGAGCCATACCTATCACACGGCCGCCAATTTTGTGACACCGAAATAGAAAATCTAATGGAATAGTAGCTGGTAATGAGCTTCACAAATCTCTCGAATTTATGTATTTATTTACTTAAGGGGGGGTCGCGTTTCAAAACAAAAGGGGGGCGGCGCTTTCTCGAAGACAGGAAAAGCTATAAATAGAATGGAGGAAGGGGCGCAAAAATGAATTTTTATTCCACCCCGGGTGCCTGAATTGTTCGCTACACCTCTGTCAGGGGCGCTAAATTGAACTATGTTGGGAAGCCAAATTACACCCTACCGGGGCGCTGCCTCTGAGTAATACATCTTTTTTTTTCGCACGAACCTTCACATGAATATATGCCTTGTAAGTCACAGCATTTCTCACAATTTGAAATCTTGTTAGCCAGGGTGAGAAAAAATTGTCGATTTAAACTTGTTGTGAACGTGATATTCCTATTGATAACAAAAAATGGCGGCTATTTGGTATATGATCACACGTTTGCGAAATTCAAAAATTGTAAAAGATATTGTTGAAATCGCTGGGAACACATATATGTATACATGCATTTCTAAACAAAAAAGTTTTTTGGGGTTAAGTATATTGACTTATTCATTCGTTTACAATAATGAAAGGAAGGCTAAAGAACATTACTCGATCGATTTGGCTATTAAATCCAGATCTAGTTCTAAGTATAGTGTGTTAATATTTGACACCTAGCAAGTTCATCGTCAGCCTACATTCTGTAACTTATTAATCAAGATCTAGATTGAACTAAAATCTGGATCTAAGTAAAAAAAACAAAAAGATACTTCAGGCTAGCAAATACTGTTTTCTGTGTTTTAATAAATTCTAAATAGGAGAGTTTTAGCACTAGTTATTAGTTATTCATTTATTACTAGATTTAGACTATATTATTATTAGTTATAATCATAAGATTTTATAGCTATACAACTAGTTGTAGTAGTAAATAGTAACAGATCTAGTACATTTATTTCCTATTCGTTACTAAAGTTCACTGTGGAAGCTTTTAACGTTTTTTGTAAAATAAACATTTGTTATGAACTTTTATAATTGAAGGTTTCTTACTCCAAATGAATATTTCAATAAACTAATTATCGTATCGTATAACATTTGGGGAAAAAAGATATTTAATCCCACATAAATACATATTTAGTGCAGATGCTATCATCTAGCATAACAGTTAAAAAATAATTTAAAAATGCACTAATTTTCAGTTTTAGTTGTATACTAGACGACTCGTTTCGTTGATAAGTGTATGCTTTGGGGTCATCAATAAACGACGTCGCGTTTGTTTAATGATTTGCATATTTCCCTCCCCTCTCCTCTGTGACTGATCTTTACAAAAAAGACTTACCAACCCATCTAAAAAACATCACACCTCAGCCAACATTTGTTTTTTGATAAACCCCGACTTCGGCTTAGCATGGGTCTGAATACACTATCCCTTCACTTGCTGAGTTAACAGAAACAAGTGAACTCTACTTCCCGCCAAGTCCTAAAAGGCAAATTTATCACCCACATCAAAACAGAAGTCACACCTCAGCTATAGACGACAGAAAATTAAGCTTCATAAGCTTTTAAATGGAAGCAATTTTTTGGCGTTTGCTTTAGTGTTTCTGGAAATAAACTCTGCATGTAGATTACTATTGTCACTATTGTTCTGAACTTTTAAAGTTCAAGGGGTGTTTTTACCAACGAATGTAGCAATGCATTGTTTAATGTCTTCAAATGAATTTGTGTATAAAGTTTGAGGAAAAAAGAACATTTTTTTCTACAGTTCTACACATAGTGTAGATCATCTCATAACATTAAAAATACGAATTTCTGACTTTCGTAGTATATAGACTGATTGATAAATAGATTACTTAATCAAGTAGACTTAAACCATCATAAATTGTGCTAAATAAAACGGTTGCAGCATTACAGATTATGTAGTGTTTTTTTTTCTTTGTTTTCGAAACAACGTTGAATAAAGACTGTAGAACAAAGATAACTTAAACACAGCTTTAGTATTTTCAATTATATAAAACTCTATCAAGGCAACGGTTCAAGAAAGAAACAATTTTGCAATCATAATTGTATTCTGTTTATTCTATTTATTATCGGCCACAATCAAAGTGGGCGGTATGGCGACACTGTTATTTCACCACGGACAAAGATAAAGACTTAAAAAAAAAAACAGATGAGCGTTTCATCATTCTTACGTACAAATTAAATTATAGGAAAAAAAGTAGTATTAAAATTACCTTAGTCACATACGGTAACTTGTAAATACAAACAGCAGTTAAGACTAACTTACCATCAATACGAACGATCTTCACTGACATGAATGATATTCGGTCATCACTACGTTATCAGGCACACGACTTTATCTGACGTGTGTAGTCACCTTCACCTTATAAGCCATGTACTATTTGTGCGAAGGCAGTTGAAAAATATATCTGCCAGTAAAAGCAATAATTATATTGATTTTTTTTTCAATTTTTAAGTATGGCAGGAATGGATCATTTTTTAAAATTATAAGCCCTAGTATTTTTAAAGAAAGAAAAACAACTTTTTTGTTAAATCCTATGTAAAAGCATAAACAATTATTATTCACTTTTGTAAATATAGTTATTTTAAAGGCACATCGTTAAAGATAATCTGAAAATGCTTTCTGTATGTATTTTTTGAATGTGACTTATTCCGAACATAGTAATTGAGAAAGGGTTGTATGATGTGTATCAAATACGAAAAAAAATTACTAACACATTTATTTATTTCATGTTAAAAATAATTTTACTGATGTCAAAATAGGATATTTAAAAAAATAATGTGATGTGTAAGTTGAAAATAATTTCGCAAATTAAAATGCAAGCTGTGAAATCTTTCAATCATGCACGCTTTTCAAAGCAGAATGAATAGAACACACGATGGTAAAGTTTGAAAAATTGACAAATATCCACATCTGTATTCACATTTTCATCCCCGTACATGACCGCGTCTGTCTAAATCCATATCAATCTTTCAAAATATCCATTTTCACATACACTAGAGGATGGGTTTCCAAACTGTAGAACATTTACCCTATAAAAAAGTGGGTCGCCACTCGAAAAAATTTGGGAACCTCTGCACTAGAGGTACAAGTACACGCCGCACACATACATCTTTATATGAAATAAAAGTTCGAGTACATACGTACGGACTCATAATTACACGTGTCAATATTTCAAATTACTTCTTAGAAGAACTATGTTAATAGTTATTTTTTTATATCTAAATGGAAACAAAATGGGAGGTAACAATCTTTATTGTGCTTGTGATCCTGATATTAGTTCCTTTCCATGTTGAATCAATTACCATTAAAGAAGTATTCTTTAAAAGACTAAAATCCTTTAAACTACTTTTAGGAAAGCAGATGATACCTTATTTAATAAGATTTTTAACCAGAACACTGAGCTAAATAAAGGGACAGATCATTTGTATTTAGAGTTCTCATAAGCTACTAATCAGTTTTGAAGCACATAGATATAGTCGCGTGAGGAACCAACATTTTTAATAAATCTTATTGTTTTCATTTCTTAAAAAATAAAATTCGTGCATAGAAAAAAACAATATCATTTTAAAACATAATACATCTAAAAAATAAACAGTAGTTGGATAATATTACTTTGTACTGGGTTTTCGATGTCAGAAATCCCTTATTCCATGTAACAGAGCAGCGAATAATGGTAAGAAAACGTTTTTTTTTTAATATATTAACCGTAGACACACTCGCTGTCTTGATGCATCTTATCTAATTCTTGTTTTATTGAAATGTAACCAGCTCTGTTGGGTATATGAATGCTTAAGTAGTGACGGTGTGGTCAAGCACTTACTGACCCAAAAAGTTATGAGCATGGGTTTTACACCGAGCTGACTTAGGAGAGGGAGGGGGTTAATACATTGGGGGAGGAATAAAAAACGATGCTAAAACCCACATATCTATCAGCCGTTTACATGGGTGAGAGAAATGCTCTATTTGTAAACTTTCCAATATGCATGGTTAATTAGTTAATACATGTATAGATAGATAGAAATAGTAGAGAGTGCACATCATACACATAGCATCTTGAACAAGAGTACTCTCTCACTCTCTCAATCTCTCTCTATCTCTCACTCTCTCTCTCTCTCTCTCTCTCTATTTCTCTCCTTTTACAGGAATATAAGCTCAAGCAAAGCACATTAGATGGCCAGTTCAAAACAAAATGTAAGATCGACCTTTATAAGTAACAACGTTGCTACCCGCTAGACCCTAGATGTTATGACTGAGTCTATTATTGATGCTAGTTGGTTATCTACCCTACCCCCTCGCAGCTAAAAGGATTCACATTTTGATCAAGGAGCAAAACCGTCCAACAGCAAACCGATTAATAACATTTTGTTAGTGCAGCTATTTCTGAGAATATTGTGTACATGAAGTAGGACTTTACCAATTTCGGACTCCATTGTCAGTAGTGACGTATCAGAATTGAGAATGTTCTTTTCCAGCATTGAAATTAGTCTACAGTGACGTGGACAAGTGCCTAAATCGTCGTTGTTTAAAGTATAAAGGAATCAGAACTTACATAATATGAAGTATCCCTACACCCATGATGATGTGAATTATTCTTACACCCTTTTCATGATGTGAAGTACACTTACACACATGATGTTAAAATGAAGTGTTCATGTGTGGATGTCATCCCACCGCAGTTCCAGATGTCCAAACCGGGGCAAGCCGACGAATTTAGATTAAGAAATGTTTAGCTCTAATATGTTCTAGTAATGATAAAAAGCGTTGTTCCTCTTCTGTAAGTCGTATGCCCAAGGCCAACTGTCGGCTAAGTATCTAATAGTATCTATTTCTTTAGTTTAGGTCTATTAACTGCATTTGTTAGAATTAGCAATATGGGATTATTTGTTGAAGTTTTTTTATAATAAATTCTGTTCCGTGATAGAGATAGGTTGTTTACATTTAATCAGTGCACTTTAAGGTAATTTCTGTCTTCATTTATTCGATGTGCCAGTTAAGAGCTTACCTAAATAACAATCAAAAAGTTAGGCCCCTTTCCAAGACAATCATAACTTTTATAACCTGATTTGTTAAAAATTTACTATTATTAACCAGTTGACAACATGTTTAAATAACGAGATGCTTATGATATACACTATCCTTGGAGGATTTATTTTCTTAATCGTGTGATGATTGAACCCTCTAGCTTAGAGTTGTTGTTTTTTTATGTTGGGAAATTTCGAAGCGGTCAATCGATCCACTTACATGACGGTAAGTTTGCGACGGTTGTTGTTACCGCTAGATAGCTAGATAGGACGATGATGTGTGCAGTGGTCAATCGATCCACTTACATGACGGTAAGCTTGCGACGGTTGTTGTTACCGCTAGATAGGATGATGGTGAGATGATGTTAAGAGACTGATGATGCGGTCTATGCTTTTAAAAGGGTTTTTATGATGGTATCTCGATGATGTGTTACCGAGTATATATTGTCTATTGATTTTTTTTTGGGTATTGTTGAAAAATATTCCTCTAAGATATTTTGTATTTTGTAGAGAAACAAAATATAATTGGGGCCATATAACTTAGTTTTACCACCTTGAGAAGTTTTATCTAGAAGAGTTAATGAAGTGTTGCTTGTGATATATTGAAGATTACTTAACCTAATTATGCTGAATTGCATAGCTGAACTGGCGTACCCGTCCCCGCGCGTTGCCGCGGGAATAGAAGAACGTCCGACAAAATATATAAGGGTTTCATTCATGCGTTAACAATCCTATATTCTTAGACTCATTACCTTTTTTACTAAAAGTTAGTGATTTAAATGCAAACAATGCCTGTGCTTGGATGATAGATATCGGGACACGGGTTTACCTACACTACCGCATGCAAACCTTAAGTGTACATTAATCACCCATTAAATTAATGAGGTAGAACACACTTCGGTGTTAGCCCATGTGTCAGGGATGAAGAGGGCGCTCTCAGGACCCCCCCCCCCCCCCGATTGACGAATCTGCATGTGCATATGGACGTGAAAGTCATAAGTTTTCTGTAATATTCAGATGTTAATGTTAGTGGGGTTTTTTGCAAGTTTTAGTGTTATGTGCAAGTGTACGTGTTATGTGCAAGTATTAGTGTTATGTGTGCAAGTGTTAGTCGTTGTGTAAGAGGAAGTACGACAATTTGTTTTGTGTCGCCACTCGGTGTTTTGAGTAACGTCATAAAAAGCAAAACCTTATAAAATTATTTTAATACGTACATTTTTATAATACCTGCATATTTTATAACCAAATTTTACGCACATGCTTTTTTTTCACAAGAAAGAGTTTTAGCACACATATATAATACATTTTTTGAAGAAGAAAGTGCAATTACAAAATGTGGGTTAAATTTTAAATGGACACATTGTAAGAATTATCTTGAAGTTATTCAATTGCATATAGATTGGTGCGATCATTTAATTTTTTTGTTTTACGCTCAGTCTTAACATTTAATTGTTCATTTTGTGATTTAACTAAATACATAATTTTAAAAATGTATTTAATCAATCACGTAATAAAGTAATTGAAATGTAAACAAACATTATAGATCAAAAGTTTTTATTTTGATTGTGCATCTCACCATTAAGCGAAAACAAAACGGTTTACTTTTTAAATATTTTAATTCTTTAAATCGTTTTTCATGTTATTTTCCGGCGTTGCCCAATCGGACAAACGACATTCGAAAAACGTATAGTTTTTGGCCTTTGTTTCATTCGTGCAAATGTCCAATCACAAATTTGTCGCAATTTGTCAAACGGCCTTGACACATAACAGACCATACGCCATAAGAAGAATTATAATAATAAACTACTTAATTATCTATATTTGTCGAAAGTTACATAGAATTAATCTACAGAGAAATATATTATTTTTTAGTATTACGAGAACATTGTATTATTCGTATATTCGAATACATACATTGTATTTATGAAAAATGTAAATCATTTTTTTTTCAATACATAAATTTAAGAAATGTTTTGATAGTGTTTGACAACGTTTCTATAGAGTAATTTTTCAGAAATATACCAGACAAATACCTACAGGGATACCAACTCGGATTCTTACACTGGGACGAGCTGGACACGGCAAAAGCTCAACCGCAAACAGTATTTTAGACGAGAGTTTTTTCCCTGCTGGTGGAGAATTGAATGGAGTGACCAAGATTGCGATGGTGAAAACAAAAACGGTGGATGGAAGGGAAGTAACTATTGTTGACACGCCAGGGGTTTTTGTAACAAGCTCGGGCATTTATTCAGCTGCTGCTACTCTAAGTAGGGAATTCAGTCAAGCTATAGCAAAATGTCCAGAAGGTTTTCATGTCTTAATCTGATATTTTCATACGGAATGCGTGTAAATGCTGAAGAAAAACAATGTGTAAAAGTGCTTAAGAGAATGTTGGGCGAAGATGTATTTGCTAATTACGGCATCATTGTTATCACAAAAGGTGATGCATGCAAGGAGAATTGTGACACACCAATACGTAAATGGCTAAAATCAGAGGAATTCTTTAAAGTTCTTCTAAAAGAATGTGGGGAAAGATGTGTTTTATTTGAAAACAAAACGGCAGACCCAATAGTTAAAATAGAACAGAGAGTCCTATTATTTCATTATATTGACAAACTAGGAGGCAAAGTTTTCAGCAGTGGATTATTTGAACTAGCAAAGAAAACACGTTCTAACTTGCTCATAAAGAAAGGCTTTTCAGAAAACGAAGATAATACCTTTCGAACAAACTGCGATGAAATGTATACATACCTACGTCAATTAAAACAAGACAAGCCAATAGATGAGAAAATAATAGTGCAAATTAAAAACACATACTGTGTGCTTGGGGAGCCAGAAAACAATTTTAAAATCCAATAGTTACAAAAATGTTTTGATGCCGTAATTAGAGAGCACGGGATGTACTCAACATTAGGAAAGTCATTCACAAAACAAGAGCCAAGTGTTGGACACCTAATCCAGTGCTTGCATGAAGTATTGAAAGACATTTGTCACATAGATCATTTGGTTGCTTTAGACGTTGAGAAGGAAAACTGTTTTCCTAAAGGCTCTTCTGTTCTCCTTGAAAACGGACGAAAAGAGATAGTAGAGAATCTCTCGCCAGGGATTGAAGTATTAACATTCGATAAGAAAAAGAGTTTAGTCTATGCTGAGATCTACATGTTTGGACATAAACAAGGAAACACCGTGTCGAAATTTGTCGTCATCCACACAGAGTCACATCAAATAAGTATTTCACCTGAGCATCTAATTCTCTGTAAGAAAAACGACATGAAAAGTTTTGTCGCCGCCAAAACTGTCAAAGTCGGAGATGAAATTCTAACAAAATCTGAGCAGGGGTTTGTCTGGTCAAGCGTGGCTGACGTCACCTACAGTGTGGACAGAGGTCTGTACGCACCTTTCACCAAAAGCGGCACCATTGTGGTGGACGGTGTCGTGGCCTCCTGCTACATCGATGTGCTGCTACATGACGTGTGTCACAGGATGGTGTCACCAATCAGATGTTTGTACCGTGTGTCACCATCTCTGGTGAGACGTGACTGTGGTGTGTCCGACACACAGCCGGTACCAAATATAGCTCGCCTGGCGTTAACAGTGTTAGGGTACGGTTAGAAGATCACTAAGGAACAACAGAGGACATTAACACTGTTTTGATAACAAGAAACGATGAATGATAATAGACAGGCATCCTTATTATTGTATGCATAGTTACTAAATGGAAGACTGCGACATTCAAAATTACGAAAAATCAAAATTAAGCACGCGGTTGTATGTAAAGAAAAAAATAGACATAAAGTAAAAACAATGCATTCAAATATTTAATTAAAATATAAAAATTTGAATTTTACATACTTTTTAGACATTTATTCACATTTTAAATCTTAATTTTTTTTCAAATACTTTATACGATTAATATAATTTACTAATTACATTGTGTATTAACAAAACATGTGAAAATTTAATAGCATAGTAATAAGAAGTTAAACGTTTTTAATTAATTAACAATTACTATTTTATTACATAATTCTCATATGATTATTACACTTTTAAATTTAAAATTAAGTACTGACATTTTTGTTAAAACTATATTAAGTTGCAATGAAAAATGTAAAAAAGTTTCAAAACATATCATTATAGGAAAATTTCAAAAGTATATATTTTTGTGTATGATACATTGAGTGTACATAATACTTACTAAATCAATAAATGTAAAAAAATTAAAAGTAAAAACTTAAACATTTAAAAGCCAGCTACTGAATTTATAAACAACATAATAATAAACTACATTTTAAAATATATTTTTATAAATTTAAATTCACATTTTCGGGATCGGCTGTTAATATTGTAAATGTTAATTATTTGAAAAAAACCAACTATTACATTCAACATATATTATTGAGAGCACACGTTTCTATAATCTGGTTTTCACAATAAAAATATTTTAAATATTTAAAAAAATAAATTTTTGTGTTAAGTTTATTTGTATTATTACTATAGATATATAAAAAGCTAGCGGTTCTGTTGCTTGTTAAACAAAACGAAAAAGACAACAAAAAAAAACGAGGAGAAAATAACCAAAATTTAACTATTTCTTAATAAAAGTTGGATGAGAATTATAGGTTTATTGTATTGTGCATGTTTGCAAACATAGTTCAATCAGTGGAAAGAAAGAAATTATTATAGCAAAGATCATTGATTTTATAAAAATGTAAAAAGTAAAATCGTTTACTTATATTGTCGTTTTAAAAAAGACGGTCTAAAAATCATAATCTTTAATTTAATCAGAAAATATCAACTGTTTTCATAAATAGCTGGAAATGTGTATTTTTATCATTCAGGCAAAAATTACACAATTTAATTTTTTTACTGTAAAGACATGTAACTTGCACCATCCAATACATTTTGTGTTGATGTAAAGATTCCAGATGTGTTACACGGCTGTTGTAACTGACGTTCTAGACATTGTTTTTTTAACCGTAACATTTCCATCTCCAACTCGTGCTTTTCTCTGGTCATTCTCATTTCTTCCGCTTCTTTCTCTCTGACCAACATCAGATTTTCTCTTTTTAATTTGATTACCTCCAGTTCGAGCTTTCTTTTTGAGGCTTGTGATCTTATATAAGGCATCATGTTTCTATTAAGACGAAATAAATGTCGTTAAATTTATTACAATAATATGTTATGATAACATTTTTCATGTTTAAAGTGTTTCATGTATCCATCAACTTTATTGGTTAAAGTTCATTAACAATTAAAATACCTTGCTGTAGGCAGTCGGTGCGACAAATAGTCTGTTTGTTCTAGAAAGAGTCACGTAAATTTAAAAATAATTCACAGAAATTATATATATATATATATATATATATATATATATATATATATATATATATATATATATATATATATATATATATATATATGTATATATATATATATATATATATATATATATATATATATATATATATATATATATATATATATATATTCTGTACTTAATATACTATCATTTTCACGAGTAATCGATAATCGACCATTCTTACAGCTGACATTTGGGTAGTTTTAACTTTAGGGAAATGATTCATACGTTCATACTATTTTGCTTCTCTAAGGCACACATGCGGAATCCAAAAAATATACATCTTCAACGATCAATCCCAATAGCAAATAGCTAAATAATTCTATAATCCTTGTCTAAGTGGCAATACTTTGTTACATTTATATCTATTTATAAATCCACACTTATTGTATTTCACCTACCAGAGATGTTGTCAACTTGAAAATCATGAATTTTTGAATGTGTGGTTATTTCTTCTTGAATATTATTCTCTAAAACTGAACTTGAATGTGTCTGTACATTTTTCTGCCCATGGTATAATGATGTAGTTTGTTCGGACATTTGATGAGACAGGGAATGTACGGGACTGGTGCTGTAATATGGTGTAAGGGGTGGTAACTCCGAAATGTAATTTGCGTCAATAGTGGAGAAGTGTGTGTCCGGATTATCTTCATTAAAAAAATACAAATGCATCTTCCATTTAATATCATTTTTAACATGTCAATAAAAATAATTTAAGTATATCTTGATATAATTTCAATAATCGATTCAAATTCACGGTATTTAAAAGCTAGTTCTCCTAATTAACGTTTTTTAAAAAAAGCTTACCCTCTCTGTAAATGTGTTGTTCAGTACTATCATTTCCATGTTCGGTTGCCTCCATGTCGTCCTCTTCTACAATGATTTCATTATCGTTATGAACTGCTATCATCAATATTATGTTAATCACAGGCACACACATACATTTGCCGTTAATATATACACAATATAACTGCATAAAATTGTCAATAGTTTTTGTACTTGCCTTCTATTTCCAATGCATTTACTTCAGCATTTTCCTGATGTTCGGTGACATCTATGTAATCCTCTTCATTGTGTTCGTTCTGTGCAATATCCGTATCTCCATTATCATGCTCTACTAATGTCTTTTCTTTATTATGTTGATATATAGGCATGACTTCCTTAAATTCCTCATGACATATATCACACATGAGTTTCACTATTGACTTGTCAATGCTGGTCTCACCACTGACTGTAGACACGTCTTGTTGTGTCAGCTGTTTTTTAACCTGACTTTTTAGTCTTTGGTATTGTTCTATAATACCTTTTGTTTTGAGATGTGTAAATTTGGGATACAAACTTTTAAATTGTGATTGTATACTTTCCCAGGCTTCTTGTCTCCGAGCTCTAGTAGTTTTATCACGTTTCTTTGATTCCATGATGTCTCTGTGCTCACTTACCATCACAAGAAGGTCAGTCTTTTCTTCTCTAGACCAGTTTACTGTACGTCTTGAGTTTGTGTTTTTTTCATTTGCACTTGATGACCCACTTTCAGCCGTCTGATCTTTATTGACTTTTCTTCGTTTTGTTTTGTCAACTTTTGTTAATTCTATGTTGTCTTTATGTTTACTGACATTTACAGGTATGTCAGTTTTTTTCATGCTTATCAAGTCGACTGTACGGCTTGAGCTTAGGCTGCCATCTCTAGAACTCGACGGCTGAGTTTCATCCATCTGTTCTCTGTTTATGTTTCCTAGTTAATTTTATTTAAATTGATTGAAAAGAAAAATATATATAATTTACACACCCTAAAACATAATCTTGTCGTTCTAGATGGTTAGAAGTAAAATGAAATGAGAAGTAATAGTAGTCAAGCATAAATTTAAAAAGTATATTAATAAGTTAAACTAAATTTTGTATTACATTAAAACAAATATTATCGCCTACTTTATCCAAATCAAGAAATATTGAAAGAAAACTTGAAACTATCGCTCATATATATTGTTGGTTATTGTTCACAAAAACATGGATCATTAATACATTACAAAAGCATATTTTAACAATATATTCCTGCAAAAATGATACTTTATATAGTGTTTTTAATGTTCTCATATCTGGCTATATACTTTTCAATGTGATGTGAAATATATAATTAGCTATAAGAAATCATCAATACAGCAATTCAGTTAAATATGCTAGATGTAACTTACCATGTATAAAACTTTCTCGGCTTTTCTTTTTAATTTCTTTTTTTAATGATTTATCAAATCCATTTTTTCCCATAAGCCTTTCATCCCCTGCTATTTTGTGCATAAACTCTTTGTTTGACATCAGTTTGCTAATCAGCGTAAGCAATTCGTTTTTTAGTATTGTTTGTGCATAACGTAAACATTTTAGACTTATGTATGAGCAAATCTGAAACATAAAACAGATAGCTTTCATTTGATTTAGAATCGTTTATATGTAGCCTATAAATCGAAATGTGATTTTTATGATATTTGTTACTTTATAATACATATTAATGTTTATGAAAAATCATCAGAAATAACACAATACTGTTAATTAAAAATACATATATTTATCACGTGCCCTGAATACAGTAAGTTTTTAAACGTCTTTTTTGAAAACAATGTTATTACAATTATTTTGCATGTATAATAATACGATAAAGGAAGAAAATGAAGAAACTGTATTTTTGCATACTGCTCAGATTAAATATATTTTGTAGCTAGTTAATTGTTTAAACAGCTGAAATGTAAAACATTATTTTGATCAAATTATGTATTTTGACTGCAACTATTAGCATATCTCTTAAATGAGCTTGTCTTTGTTCAACTTACCAGACTAATATTGTTGTCATTTACACAGAATAATGTCAGGTCCAGCAATAAATAATAAAACTTTTCTTCTCTCTGATAAACACACGCTTCTTTTAATTTCTTCACAATTAATTGTATTTCATCTGAAATTAAATAACTTATATGTCTGCTATTGTTTACAAATTAATTACACACGGCCAAGATTTATCGATTAAATATAAAATTAAACTGTAATGACATAAAGAAAATATTATCAATCATCATCTTATTTTCCTCGATCGTGCTGCAGACATATGGGGCAGATGAAATAGAGTGTATCTCTTGCAACAACATCGGCAATGTGGCTAATACCAAACATGGCCGCCTTTTCTACTAAACTTGAGTCTGGTATCTCTTAGGGCTGTGTAAACGTTAAAAGTCTTGATCCCAGTATCTGAACTCAGAATTTTCGTGTTAGTGGTCGTAACCTC